TGATGGTACCCGCCTCCTTAAGGCTATTTTAAAGATGTACAAAGTAAAACTAGACCAGCGCCTGACCTACGGAAGTGGCTGTTGTTATGCTCACCACTTCAGGGTGTGCCTGGGGGATCTATCTAGCAAGAAAGGCAGATTCTGGCTCAGTGGGTCTGGGTTGGGACTGCACAGCCTGCGTTTCTAACAAGCTCCCAGGTAATGCCCGACTGCTGGCCATTCTCCCGTGGGCAGGTGTGGAGCGGCATGGGACGGGTACTTGAGAATTAGGACACCTGAGTTCAGATCCTAACCGCTCTCTCCTGGCATTGTCACCTTGGGCAAGTTAAGTGCTCTGAGTTCCCATTTCTTCATCTGTGAAATGGGGTTAATAACTACTTCCTTAGGCTACTGTGACAATAAATGAGGTTTTATATAAAGTATGTTGCACAGTATCTAGCATACAGTAAGGGAGTAATACATGGAAGTTATTTTTATTCAAAGGCTGTAACAGTCATTTGCCTAGGTCCTTGACAGGGAGACTTTTTACTGCATATGCTTTGGTGCCTTTTTAATTTCACATCCCATGACTTATTTGAAAACTATATCAATAAAAACTGCAGATTAGCTCTAGGGAAGGCAGCCTCGCCTACTGGTTAGGAGCCTGGGTTCCGGAACCATCCTGCCTGGGCCCACCCTCCTCATTCACTGTGTTGCCTCACATGTCCCTTAACCTCTGTGCCTGCGTACTTTTTCGTCTGTTAAAAAGAGATGACCGTAATATCTATCTCAGAGCTGTTTTAAGGATTAAATTAGCGCCTGCCACACGGTGAATACTATTTAAGGTTTATTGTTTATTACCTGCCTCCCGTGGAAGGTGAGGTCATCGAATGATTCTGGAAGCGGATGGAGGTGGACAGAGAGGGGTTCTGGCCCCTGCCAAGTGGGTTTGGTCCAGCCTAACCGCTGCAGGGACAATCTGGTGGCGATGTGTTACATGGGGGTCAGGAACTCTGGCCCTACTTAGGGATCTTCCTGGGAGTCTCATACAGTATATATAAGAATACAATAGCTAACAGAGTGTGCTCCAGATACTGTTCTAACTCATTTAACACAACACACTCTGAAGTAAGTACTCTTATTTTCCCCAATGAAGCACAGATGAGGCACATGGGTGTTAAGTGACTTGTCCAAGGTCACATAGCTCCTGAACTGGAATTTGAACCCCGGCCATCTGGTGCCAGAGTCCATGCGCTTACTTAATCATAAAACTGTCTTACCGCTCAGAGTGTGCATCTCATGTACTCATGGGCATATTTACTGTATACCTACTATGTGCCAAGCTCTGTGCTGGGTTTCCATCTGGCCAGTGGTGAGAAGTCAAAAGTCCTATAACAGCTAATGGAGACTGGTCTTTGAATCGGCATTTTATGGTGCAATTTGAGGGAAAATAAATGAGTGCTCTTGAACTTTACGGTACTCCATGTAATGCAGCTGAAGAAGATTCAGGAAACCCGCAAATGTCCTTGTCTTACTTATGGTGAGGGCCGTGGGATGAGAGCAAAGGATCAGAGCATGGACTTAGAAGCCAGCTGCTCGGAATGAAATCTGGGCTCCACCACTTCCTGCCAGTTTAACCTCTGGCAAAGTCCTTTCACCTCTGTGACCCCCTGCTCCCTCATCCATAAAAGGGGGGTAATAGTACCTACCTCTGGGGCCAGTTGAGATAGACCATGGGCGCCTAGACCAAAGCCAGGAGCTGAAGCACTAGTGTTAGCTGCAGTGATCACCAGCTGCGGGACTGCCTTGTTTCATGGCCTGGCACAATGCTGACATCTGGTGGCCAGTATGCACGGCTCGCGCTTTATCCAGGAATAGTACTTCTAACCAAACACACCCATGTTCTGTAATTGCTCTGCCTTGGGCTTTTCTCTTCACTAAAGTGCCTGGGTTATCCACACGTCCCTAGAATAATGATCTTTGGCCCCGGGAAGCAACTGCTTTAAAATGAGATAACCTGCAAGGTACAGAGCATAGAAACTGCTTGGGAAATAACTTAGTATTTCTTGAGCACTTAGTATTTCTTGGGCACTTATGTGAGGCCATTTAAACCTCTCATTTAAACTTCACAACTCCTCTGTGAGGGTGGTACTATGACCCCCACTTGATGAATGAGGGGACTGAGGCTTGGAGAAGTTCTTTGACTTGCTCAGGGTCACAAAGCTTGTTGAGAGAGGCTGGGCTCTGAACGCTAGGCTGGTCTGGCCCTAGGGCTGGAGCGCCGCATCCACTCACCACCCCACTCCACCTCTCTCAGACCCCCCTCCCCTCCACCTTGCCGCTGGAGACCAAATGGCTGCAGCCCTTAGGGAGCAGCATGGCAACAGGAGGGCAGAGTCTGCCAGCTAAAGCAGAGACACTGTGGACTAGGGAAATCACGCCAGAGGCCCGCCCTGCATGGCTCTGACAACCGTCCCAGGAGACTGGACACTGGGCTTCTCCCAGGGAGCAGTGGGGAGAAGGGGCCAGAGGCATTTGTCATCTCAGATGCAGTGGAAATTGATCAGAAGGCTGATTCCTCCAGAAAGAGGTTCTCCGTGTCTCAGCCCTCTACACACTCGTTGGGTTGGGGGGATGTCTGTGGAAGAGGAAGACGAGGAGGAGGAGTGGCTTACATGCTTACCTTTAATTATAAGACACATACACACTTGTTTAAAAATGCAGACTACAGAAATGTACAAAGTGAAAAATGTGAGTGCCCTTATCTGCCTTCCCTTCAACCGTTACACAGAAGCTAACTGTGTTATGTATCCTTCCTGCCGGTTTTCTATTCGTTTCAAATATCTCACATCCCTATATAGATACAGGTGCTCTTTAAACAAAACCAAAAAACAAAAATAAGATTGTTCTGTACATATTGGTCTGCAAGTTGTTTTCTTTTACTTAATGTCATGGAGGACATTATTCTATAAACCGGCAATTCAAATGTGTTAGACCTTCGTGTTTTCAAGAACCCCTTGTAGGCTGTTTGGAAGAATAAAATCCTTAGGTTATGCGAACAATCACCTCCCGATAACTTTATGTATTGCATCTCTGCCTCCTCAGCCCCCGCCACTTAGAATTCAGCTGAGATGTAGGGCAGCTGCTGGGTGAAGAGTTAAGGGGAATCCCCTGTGTGAGTCTTCATCTGCAGTTTCTCGCTTTTCCCCTGACTTGCTCCACAGAGGGGAGGTTGCCCGTATATTCTTCCAATTAAGCACAAATAAACATAAACAATGAGCATCATTCTTCTGTAGTTTCAAGACAGGCAGATAATGTTAACATAGTGAGAGGGTGTTGGGAATAGAGGCAAGACTGCAGTGGACTAAGGCCTCAGAGGCTCTGACACGACAAGCTTTCTGTACTCACCCCCACATGTAATTCAAAACAAACATCAAACCATAAAATAAGTGTGAGGAGGTCCCAAAGTACTATTTTCCCCCCTGATGACTATAATGAGGCTTCAGGAAATATATAACTAAGTCTAGTTCCTTTGAAAAAGTTGGGAGCCCTTGGGTTGCCGATGTTCTGAGGTCCTGGTCGGCCTGTGGTTCAGGGCCCTCTGCGTTGACATTACTCATGGAGATGCCGCTGAGATTCAGGTCTTTAGTGAGCACCTAATCTAGGAAGGCGCATGAGGACTGTTTTTACGGAGGGAACTAAGAGGTTGGATTCTGAGTCCGCTGCCTACGTGCTCCCAGACACAGAGCTCAGGCAGACATTAATCAATGACACACAGCAATCTCTCCGGAGACCAGAGACTCCACTAGGACCATCCCCGCAGTGAAGCCCACGGCAAATGAAACACAGGTTGTGCTTTACAAGAGTTAAAAACCAACCTGCCCCTATTCTTCCTGCATCTTACCGAAGTTAAAGATAAACTTACTGTTGTTCTTCTATCCTCCTTCCGCCCCCATACACAATACATTTTCCATGGAAGCGGAAAACACATGTAAACCCTAGTCTGGGGAATGGAGGGGTATGTGTCTCTCTTCCACTAATGATCAGAGACCACCATTCCGTCTATGGGGTGGCCTTTGTTTTCTTACTCTCTGCTAAATAAGCTTACTTTCACTTTAAACTATTGGGTTGTCAGAAAAGTCATGACGCATTTTTGCAACGAAAAACACAGAAAAAATACGTCATGACTTTTCCGACAACCCAATATATTGGCTCACGTTCGAATTCTTTCCTATGTGAAGCCAAGGACCTTCTTTTCCTGCAATACACACCTGTGATGCGCCTGGCATTGGGGCTCTCTGGAACTCAGTTAAGTGAAGTGCACACTCATGTCTTTAACAACTAATCACAAAACAGTGCAATCTTTCAACTTTGATTTAATGAGCGTTTACTCCAAGCTTGTCCAGTGGTGTGCTAGCGCCAGTCCCTACAGTGAGAGCTGATTTCTAAATTTCCAGGAATACTGAAAACCAGAGGCAGTCATTATTTAAAATTAAGTTGCATAAACTTAGATTTAAATAAATTATATTAAAAACAAAGGTAAACAAAACTCAAAACTCACCACTTCTTAATCATGTTACTACGTTGTACATTTTTCTACCTGTGTTCTTGACATTGTTGACATTTTTTATCTGTACGGTGGATGCGCAGCATCTCTTGCCAATTCTGAGTTCAGCGAATCCACATGGTGGTTTGAAACGGGCAATGGATGGAGTGTTTATAAATACTCCAAGTCGGCAAATACTACCAATCAGGGTTTGATTTGCTGTTGAACTGTCTCCTTAAGGAAGCGATGGGGAAAACGTTAATTATTCAGGTTATGCTTGAATGTGTACGCTGCATATGCGTGTCCTTGACATCGTGAATAGCACAAAACATGGAGGAAATACTCCTCCGGTGCTTGAACACTTGGGAAATAACAGAACAAAGTTCGGAAGCAGTCAGGTCCAAGGTTGGGTTTCGTTTTGTCAAAGGCAAGGAGGTGAGCGACCAACTCGTTGAATGGGATAGTCATCAAGTGTTTATCCGTGGTCTGATTTTGTGACACAACTGTTGGTGGCAGAATTATGAGAAGTCAGTGGATTTTGCAAGACATAACGGAAGTTGGAGCTGTATGGAACTTACCAGAAAGAAATGTTGCGGAACAACGTTGTCCCCCCACACACCTTCTTTCCCAGCGCTGGCGTCTGCGCCCTTGGCTCGGCTCTGTGTCCACACGGGGTAAAGCAGGGGCGGGGCCCGAGCAGACAGGCCGCGCTAGGGCTTCCCAGGGCGGCCGCCGGGGGCGCGCGGGAGGCCGCGTGGAGCTACGCGCTTTGTCCCTCCGCGCGGCCCGTCGCCGGGAGCCGCGGCGGGAAAATCTGACTGCGCCGTGCCGCTCGCCCTCCTTAAGCGCCCGCGCGCCCGCCTGGATTGGCCGCCGCGATGGAGGACGAGGAGGGGGCCGACGAGCAGCAGCAATTCTCCTATCAACAGGTAGAGGAAAACCGCGTCCGGCCTGGGCTGGGGGAGGACGGCGTGCGTTTCTCAAGAGAAGCAGCCCCGCAGCCGCGGCCCGGCGTCGCCTGGGTGCCAGCCTCCCCGGGGCGGAGGGCGCGCCCTGGCCGGCACCTCCGACGCCTGGCGCCTGTGCCAGCTCGGCTGCCGCGGGGGGTGCTGGGAGGCGGTTGCCACGGTAACGCGGGTCGGACTGGATTCCAGGGGAGTGTGGCGCGCCCCTGTGTCTGGCGGCCCCGGCTGGCCTTCGGCCTTTGTGACAGCCACCGTCTCCCTGCTGAGACAGGGATGTTGTGAGGATGGGATGTGAGCACTGAAGGGAATGCAGGCAGAGCGTTTAGCACGGTGCCCAGAGCGTGGCCCGAGCTCTAAAATGTTGGCCATCGTAAGCGGTGCAGTTTCCATCCTGCCGATGAGAAGGCGGCCTCCGAGCCGGGATGCAAACCCGTGTATTCCGGTTCCAGGGCCCATCCTCAGGGTGTGGTTCGCCTCTCGGCCCCGCAACCAGAGGCTGTGCTGACTCGGCTCAAACTCACTTTTCTGATGTGGAGAATCAGAGTAATAATAATACCCACCTGTAGGGGTAGTTGCGGGTTTTCACCCTTCCTTGGATGAACACCGGGAATAGGTAGTGTGGCGGAGTCATGAGGGCATAACGAGGAACACCTGAAGCTCAGTACACGGGAGTTTCCTTCCCACGAAGTATTAAGATTTCCCCTCTCTTTATTTTGAGAAGTTCAAGGCTTCAGAAAAAGTTGCAAGAACAGTGTTTTCAACACCCGTATGCCCCTCGCCTCGATTCACCAAATGTGAACGTTTTGCCGCATTTGCTCCCTTGCTCTTTTGTTTCTGAGCTATTTAAGAATTGATTGCAAACAAACAAGGGCTTTCTCCAACATACTCAAGAGTATCACACTCAGGAAGTTTAATATTGATAACATTCTATCATCTAATGTTCAGTCCATGTTCAAATTTCCCCCGTTGCCCCAAAGATGTTTCTTTTAGTGGGTCCTTTTTCCTTCCTCCGGGACCCAGTCAAGGTCACGCGTCGCATTCAGTAGTCCTGTGTTTTGGGTCTTCCCTGGAAGGATTCTGCAGCTCTTTTGTCTTTCATGACATTGATGGCTTTGAAGAGTCTGTTCACGGCAGAGGTGTAGTGGGACATGAACTCTTGGAAGTCAGGGGCAGTCCTTTTCATTTTCGTATTTCGTATTCTCAGCCCTTCTATGGAGCCTGGCCCTCAATAAACAGGAAATGCTTACTGATTAAATGAGTGAGGCTGCAAAGATGGGCTGAGAAATTTGAACCCATTCTCTATGCAGTGGTGAGCAGGTTGAGGATCATTCATCCAGCTGCCCTTGGCACTAGGTGGATAGTGGGGAACAAAGCTGACGGGGTCCTGTCATTGCAGAGTTTCGAGTGTAATGATTTAGCCTCTTAAGTGTGTGGCATTGAAGAAGTCCCTTAGTCCAGTCCAGGAGGCACGTGGAAAGAGAAGGGACAGAGAAAACTGCCTGGCACCTTCAGAAGGATTCCTGTTCTGTCCCCACCCCTGCTCCATCCCATACAAACTGAAAAAAGATGACACTGGAGTCTTTTTCCCTCCCAGCGAGAGGGTCCCTTTGTCTCCTCCTACCAAAGGCCTCAGCTTACTTAGCCTTGTGAGATCTGAAACTAAGGCAGGGAGGTGCCCACTTATCTGCCTGGCCTATACCCTGGGGTCCTGGACTTGGGTTCTTGCCATTTCTCCTTCTTGTTCCTCTGCCATGACACTTGCTGTATAGCATTTGTGTAGTCTTGGGTTCCGCTGTCTCCATGTCCAATTCAGCTCTGTCTCTAGCAGAGACAGGAGCACACACAGACTCAGTGAGTTTGCTGCCATGAGACAGAGACCTTGGCTTGGCTTGTTTTGCTTCTTGACTCCGCTGCATGGGGAGGAGATGTTGTCTAGTATCTAAAAGGGTTGCTGAGGAGCTGTGGGGGTGCTGCTGAGGCGGCTTGCAACCCAGCACTCAAAGGAGGGTCAGACATGTCCGCATGAGCCTTTCTGGTGTTGTCCTGATGTCACCTGCAGGCCTGGGACTGTCAGGGACTTGCAGCAGGGAGGTCGGGTCCTTTGGTATTTATTTGATTAACCCCGTCAGGGTGCAAAACCCCCATCTGGTTTTTTATTGTTTCCCAAACACCTAGCATGTGCCTTTACCCAGTGGGAACTTGGCACATATTGGTGGGCCGAGCACAAAGTCACCCAAATACTTTGCAAGTGCCATCTGACTTCTCGCTGACCTGCCATCGTAATTCCTTATCTTTACTTGACCTAAATCATAACCATTAAGTAGGAAGTCATGCTTCCACAAGTCACACTCCAGAGGGCCTCATTAATTTATTAGTACACTTGGAAAGTCACTGAGCCATTACGGAGAGTGCCGCACGGAATTCGGCTGAGCAGACCCTCTCCTTGGGCTTCATTTTTTAAGATGTGCAAAGCTCGTATTTGCAGCTTCCCGCATGAGGTATTTTGGTTTTTGCTTCAGAGGCTGAAGGCAGCGGTCCACTACACTGTGGGCTGCCTTTGCGAGGAGGTTGCCTCGGACAAGGAGGTGTCATTCAGCAAACAGACCATCGCAGCGATTTCGGAGGTGACGTTCCGACAGTGCGGTATGGAGCCCCGGCCTTCCTGCATATGTGTACAAGCCCCAAAGGTTGCTTTTGCCTGGGAGAAATGTGTGGGTGGGTGCTGTGTTGCAACCCTCCAACCCACGGAACTTTATCGCTGGACACTGTCCGTGACAGTTCTTTTTCTCAGCTGTCAGAGTTGGATGCTTTATGGAAAGAACTATTTTTTTCTATTATGCTAACACTGGGGCATTAACACCTTTACTTTATTGTGTTTTAAACTGCCTGGAACCTTAGACATTAAATTTTATATTTCATTGCTTTAGAACATTTTTATGTCACCAGTAGTTTATTTGACAGCTGAACTTGTGGCATTGGTATTTGCTTGACTTCACAGGAAATGAATGCCCTCGCAAGCCCTAACTTGTAGCAAAATGTAAAGTTAAGCGGTGGTTTCTAGGAGCGAAAGGTGTAGCCACAATGACCAGAAAGCTTGTAATAAAGGGTCAAGGGTGCCAGGAAGGACAAGGCCATAATGAATCAAACCGCTGTGGCGCCTGGGGCTGCCTGAAGTGCCTCCTGTCACCTTTAAAGGGTTTGCTGTACCAGTCACTGTACTTACTGTAGAGATTGAGATTTCACTTTTCCTCCTTCTGAAATAAGATTGAGAGGAGGGTAGCTAAAGCACATCTCTTTTTTTCTTTCAGAAAATTTTGCCAAAGACCTTGAAATGTTTGCAAGGTGGGTAAAAAGCTTGATTATCTGCTGCTGTGTCTGTTCGCATTCTATTGAGACTCTCCATCTGGTGGTGTATTTCAGGAGCTCTTTAGCTATTCATTTTTTTTTTTTTTGTATTTTCTGGAGGCTCATTCTCTAATCATGATTCCGCAAGAATATAACATCTGCTTTAATCACGTCCATTCAGACTTGATTTGGCATTTTTTGAAGTTTTCCGAGTATTTTTTGTTAAGAGAGCCAAAGTTATTCAGTTCCAGGTTTGAAAGGCATGAATAATGCCCCTGGGACCGTGAATGTGCGTGGTGTGCGTGCTTTTAGGGCTACTTCTGCAGGATGGTGTGACGCGAGGTCTGGGCCTGCGCCGAGCTGGCCTGCACCGCGCTCCAGGCGCCAATAGCTGGCAGGTGGCCGGATAATGACAGCACGCACGCGGCCACATCAGGCTTGCATTTGCGGGTTTATTCCCAGTGAGACAAGCACTCCTTGAAAAGAAGGTGACTTGCTTTCAGCTGGTAAAGCTTTAGCTTTTACAGGTGATTTATGCTCAGCTCTTCAATTAGTACCTCAGGTAATTGAAAACAATTGCGCCAAATTGCTTTTACGAAGCATTTGGAATGACTAAGGCCTGAGCACACTAAAGCTTTCTCATTTGCTACGACTTCTGAGCTGGTGCCAGCCTGTCCCACACCCCACACTTTTCACCTTGCTCCTTCCTATTAGTGCTTTGCTTCTCGGGTGAATGTGTTGAATGAATTAAAGCAGTAGGTTCTCGGAGGGCAGGTTCTAAATCTTTCCTATTCCTGTAGATAGGAGTCCCTAAAAACTGCTTTGCATCTTCAACTTAGCCCAAAGGGGTAAGATAATATTATGGGATATGATAGCTCATCTGGTTTATTCATTGTTAATTCGGGCGCTTCTCACACCCTCCTGTGTCTCCTAATCCCCTACCCCCGAGTCTCCTGTGAAATACTTTTATCACCTTTACTTGCCATTTATTTATTTATTTTGGGAAAATCAACTCTTTTTTTATTACAAAGGGAGATGCAATGTAAATAAGTTCTGTGCCTTGTAGGAGGTTTGTTGGCGCCTCTGGCCTCTGCCGTCCACTAGTAAGTTGTGACTTTTTTTTTTCTTTTCCCATTTCTGTGTTAGCTGTGGGAAAAGACCATGAACATTTAACAATGCTTCTGCAAAACTACCAGAAAAACGAAATTAGAACTATTTAGCATTCTAATACATTAAGCTTTCAGTTACTCTTTTTTTTTATAATTACATTAAAAGGTTGATTTTCTTTTGCTGGGTACTAGTGGAGAAAGCGGCGTGTGTGTTACTTAGGCTGTAAGCTCTACTAGGAAGGACATCATCTTTTAAACAAAGGAGGCTGTAAAGGCTGTGTCAGCTGCCGTTCCCTAAACAGGCCTGTCGGAGGCTTCACTGGCTGTAAGATGCCTCGTCTGCTGTCATGTCCAAGTGTGGACTCCATCCACTGCTCCCCCAGCTTCCTCCCAAGAACCTGAGGGAACGCAAGAGCAGATTTCCTTTGAAGACTCATCCTTCGTCTTCATGTTATGTTGGTTTTCATAATATTCCAGTTTCTCGCAAATATGAAAGTCCTGTTTTAAAGTTTATCACTGAATAAAATGGATATTTCCAGAAGGTCACCAGTGCTTATCTGGTGGCTTTGAACTTTCCCTGTCATTCAGTCTCTATTCCTAGAGCTATAATTGCTATGAGAAGTCTGGAAAACGTCCTGGTTCAGGTCAACTATAAGTTAAATATTCTTTGTAGGCTGGCTGGGAACCTAATTAGTATTTGTAATATTGTTTCCACAAGAAAATACATTCTAAATAATCAATACACCTATAAACTTCGGAAAATCATCTCTCAGTTTGTTATGAATTTTCCTTATTTAGCTTTGAAATCCCTAGTCACCTAATATTGTTAATATGTTAAAGATGAAGCACTCTGATGAAAATACATATTCTTTAGTAAATAAATTCTAGGAACATTTTGGGAATCATCTTGAAAACCTGTGTTGCTAAAAGCATTACATGAAAAATTGCTTTGTTATTTTCCCTAGCGTAATTGTCCGGAGTCAGAGGTGTGATTTAGGTGAGACTCCGATGTGCATAGAACATACCTGCCCCTCCTTTTAGGGAAGTGTTCACTTAAATATGGTGCAGAGACACCAGATGACAAGCTGAGTGGGGGAGAGGACTGACTTTGTTATTTCCTAAACACTTCTTTGTGAACCTTACTCTGTAAATAGTTCAGTGTTGCTGCTTCCTTCTGCTCCTTCCTTTCACTGCCCGATGGTGTGATGGAGACGACGGCCACACTGTACCCATGGAACTTAGCATCCTCCACCCAGGACACCTGTGGACTGGCTTCCTACTTTGTGGCTGCTATTGTATAACCTTCTGTCTAACCTTCCCGCCCCCCCCATCCTGGTCCTTGCAGGTGGCTCATTAGACGTTATCTCCTGAAGTGGATATTATCGGATAGGCAGAGACTGTCAATCATGACGAGATGACACTTGATATTTGCACGTTTAGCAGGAGGTGAAAGATTAATTTGGCCAAATTATGGCGCATAATTTCTGTGTGACTTTATCTTGAACTCAACAGAGATTCAGCGTGGACCTACTGTGTGCTGGCCGCTTCCCTAGTAATTAAGGATACAAAGGGTACCTGTTCCTACTTATTTTTGGAGAAAGTTAGCGATGGCGAGAAAGGGTGTAATTAGAGTGATAAATTATTGAATAGAGCTTATTATCTCAAATTACCTTTTAACATAAAGATAAGAGGACTGGAGTGGGAATTTGAGTCCAAATTATGAGCAAGAAACATACCAGTTTAAAGGATGCTCTTTGTTCTAACGAGGCTATTGTCGGGGAATGCATCACCTCCTTGTTGGGCAGTGGGGCATTAGGCACCTGCATAAGCTTTGCCCTGTAATTTAGCCCTTGGAGGAGAGTCTAAGCCAGCGGTTCTCAACCTGTGGGTCGCGACCCCTTTGGGGGTCAAATGACCCTTTCACAGGGGTTGCCGGGTACTCGTATGTGGGCGTATCTGCATGTGGGCCTGGAGACGGATAGAGGAGCGGTGTCTCGGTTCCTAAGACCATCGGAAAACATGTGTTTTTCGATGGTCTTAGGCGACCCCTGTGAAAAGTTGAGAACAGCTGGTCTAAGTGAAGCCATGCCTCCTGGAAATTCTCATTGTTTTTCTGCTTACTGTCTATTTTAAGCAGAGGTGTTCTTTGTATTGTGAGGCTTTGTACCGTTTTCTCTTTTCACTAAAGGTGTACAGTGACCTTGTTTTTCTGTGGTGTTCGCTGTGACCAGTGACCAAACAGTTCCCTTTGGAAGGTTTAATGCCTCGGACTCCTCTCGGGGCCTGTATTCTTCAGGCAGCCTTGGCCCTTGGGGAGGTGGACAGATGGGCCTTTGCTTGCCTTGTCTCTTGATTTAATTGGTATCTTGGCTAGTCACTTCATTCATTTTTGTGTCACAGTTGCTTAACGACCTTAATCTGAAAAGATGGGCTACTTACAGATCCTTGCTAGCCTGAAGTCTGACCATGAACTTTTGCATTTCATCAAAACTTTAAATAATACCAAACATTTTGGTGAATTGTCTCTGCCCTTTCTACAGACATGCGAAGAGAAGCACAATTAACACGGAGGATGTGAAGCTCTTAGCCAGGAGGAGTAATTCACTGGTGAGAGATGGATTTCTTTCCACATTCCCCTTTCCCATCAGAATACATTATTCCCAATTAATCACTTGCAGCCATGAAGTGATTCCCCAGGGCACCTTGCATTAAAAACGAGAGATGGTTCAACCATTCAGACCTGCCCGTAATTTATAGTCTTTCTTTCATTATGATAGATCTTGCCAATTTGAAATTTTCTAATCAGCACTCTCTGGATTTCATAGTTTGCCTTTTTGGTAATATCTCAAAACTTTGGTCCCGTGTTTCATTTACAGCACGATGTCAGACAGGTCACAATCCAGGGTGTATGGGGATCGTTTCATTACGGTGCCGACAATTTTCCTGGGGGGCCAGGTATGGAGGGAATATCTGTACAACTGGGATGGGCAGGAAATCTTCCGTCTTTTCAAAGAAGTCTAGAAGCCATCTTGAGCACGCCTGTAAAAAGCCCTCATTTTGCAGGTGTGATCGTCCCGGGCTAGGGGCTGTGGCCAGCGGCAGACCCGGGACGCCTGTGAGGCTTCCTGACTTAGTGGATCCTAGCAGTTAGACCGCTTATCAGCTTATCACGTTCCTCCCTGCAGCGAGCTCCACAAGGGCAGGCAGTTCTGACAACACAGCAGGTGCTCAATAAGTACCGTATTTCCCCATGTATAAGACGCACCCTTTTCCGAAAAGTTTGGGGTCTAAAAACTGGGTGCGTCTTATACAGTGGTTGTAGATTTTTTTTACTTGCATTTCCTGCTTTTTCGCGCTTGTTGTCTTTGCGCTCATTGTTTCACACTTGTTNTTTAAAAATTATTCAAGAGCCATAAATATATTTTTACATAATCACTATTATGTGACTAATATCCTTTAAAAATTTTATAAATGAAACTATGATAGTTTTATTTTCATTTTTAACTTTACTTTAGAGCCTGTGGCTCGTGAGCCGCACTTCGCTGACCCCTGGCGGTGCTTCCGTCTCAAAAGTTTGCCAACCCCTGGACTAGAGGAAGCCCAGAGTAGCCAAGAAACTACAAATATCCTCGGGCAGTGTTGCCTACCACCCAAATAGAACAGCCTGTGCCGAGCTCCAGAGAACACAAGCACTTACACAAACCTCTGTGCCAAGTGCAACCAGGCAGTGCACCGAGGGGCACTAAACTTTACCCTAATGCCAAGAAGAAAAAAACCAGTAAAACTTATATGGCAAAAGCCATGTCACTAAGGCATCTACAGCGCTTCGGCTGCTCCTGGGTGGCTGGAAGACTTCTGTCTGATATTTGCTGGAGCTTGATGACTCAGAGGAACACTGACACACACGGTGACTCCATGCCTGGGGACTGCTCATATGCTTAGCAGGTAGAACTTCATTGGATAAACAACTTATTGCTATGGGCTAACGTTGCTTGTAAACCATTTGCATTTATTATGTCCTTTTGAGAGTCCCAACAATCCTGGGAAGCAGGGCTAGAAATATCAGACCCACTTTGCTTATGAGAAAACTGAGGGTCGAGAGATGGTTAAGTGCAGTCAAGCGGCTAGTAACATTTAGGGACCGGGGCTCAGAACTTGTCAACTCTGTCACTCACAACACACGCTCCTTGTCTGGACCTCTAGAATGGTCCCTAGCACCTCCCTCTTTACTGCACAAGGTACCTGCCCGAGAGGACGGTGGAAACCCGCCCCACCCCACCGTGGGCTCAGCTGTGGGCCCCAGTACCAACTCAGAGAGTCTGAGAACCAGGAATACACTGGGCTGGGTTTGGNTTTCCCTCTGGTATTGTCTGTGCCTCAGCCGACTGTCAGTCCATCCTCTTCAGCCACTGACGACCAGAAGCCACGCCAGAAGCTTGAGCCCCACCATTCCTCCCTAGTCATTTAATTACCCACTTTGGATCAGAAAGTAATGTTTGATAATCTGAGGGAGGGCATGTATCCATTGTGTTTAAGCCGTTTGGATTTAGATTAAACGAGATGCTAGCAAACGTTCTGGCATATGATAGGCACATCAGCAGCTAAGAGTCAGGCTCTGCAGAGGTGAAAGAGGTCCCACACAGCCCTCTGCTGGCCTACCCTACAGCTCCAGGGGAGTCGCAGGGTCCCTGGTTGTCGCCCACCTCCAAATCCTGGCTCGACAGACTCAGCTCGGGGGCAGCCTTCTCCTGCAGCACAGAAAGGATCTGGCTCGACAGGGCCGTTTCGGAGGAGCGCTCTCTGCTCATCCCCATGTCAACTGTGTCCCCCTCGTCCCCGAAGCCGGCGTTGGACTCTGCAAAGCAAATGTGAGATGGGGATCAGCACGCAGCGTAAACACATCACTACACAGCCAACCAGCCAGAGGACTCAGCTGGGCAAGGCAGAGCCCATCATTTCAAGATGCCAGCAGCTGTGGCATCACTGTGTGACTACCTCACACACACTCGGTTCCCTTTCAAGGAAAGGTTCGACAGGCACTGCGTTCTCGGGGTGAGTCCCCAGCCAACGAGTCCTACCTTGCTGCTTTGACAAGATGCTGCCCTCCTTCTCCAAAGCCTGGAGGTAGAGCTCCAGGAGCTGCCTGGACTGACGGGCTTCCTCTCTCTGGTCGAGCGCATGCAGGAGGGCGTTCTGGAGCCCCTGGACAGTGCCACAGCTCTGGCCTAGTTCCTGAGCCAGGTCTGAAACTGGGGCATCAACGAGCACCTAGCAAAAAAATGCGGAGTTCACGAACCCTACGCGTACTTTCAGAACACGCTGTTACATCTCTCAAACACATCAGTTTCAGACTCATTTCATCTGTTTCCCAAAGTTACCTAATACGGCTGCCTAAGAGTCAAAAGAGGCATGTAATGTTTTCAGTTTTTTTCCTCTGGTCAAAAAATGTTGCCTTAGTGCCTCATTAAAAACTAAATCAAATCCTGATATTAAAAATCCCAATTATGGGGCAGCTGGGTGGCTCAGTTGGTTAGAGTGTGAGCGCTGAGCAACAGGGTTGCNGAAACACTGGTTTCGGGGCTGCCAAGAAAGGTGGGCCGCCGCAGAGCTGGAGACGAGTGCTGAGCCGCCTGCAGCATGCCACCGTTCTGCCTGCTGCTGCTGCTGCTGCTCGCAGGGGCCACCGCGGCCCTTCGCCTGGAGGGCGGCCATGCCAGCCGCGCCAGTGCCAGTGGGGTAAGTAGTCCCTGACTGGGCCGCTTGCCAGCCCATTTCTGTCCGTCTCCCTGCTTGGCCTAGTTGGCCATGTCCGTGGACTCCCCAGCATCTCCACTGCTGAGCGTGTAGGGGACAGGCGGAAGGGTTGAAGTCCAGTGCCCCCTGGCTGCCCTGTGGCACTGTGGTGTCCATGCAGACCGCCGACTCAGTCACCCTTAGTTGTCCTGGCCCAGGAAGTTCGTTCGAGAGCTCTGAAATGCGAGCTTCTTCATGCCAGTGATCTCCTCCTGCTGGCCTTTGAAACGTGATGTGGTTGTGCCAGTCTGTTGCGGTGCCATCCTGGGGCTGCCCCTGCTGTGTTAGTCACACCTTCTTCTAGAACCTTAACTTATGCATATAGCCCATGTTCTCACTAGCTCAGATGAATTGATGTCATATTTTTTCATTGTGAGAGTTTGTAACTTCAGGAGGTGATTTATTTTTCTCTTTTTTTCCATTTTGAAAAAGTTCCAAGAAGAGTACATAAAGTTGATCATTAAAAATGGATTTTTCTCTGAAATGACCAGATAACGTTTCAGACAAGTCATTTATCATCAGATTACTCCTAGAAGCTTTCCAAGGAGTTTGAAAGACCGGAATAGAACGTCTCAATCTGATCTGTCTTGAAGAGCCCTTTGTGGACAGCCAGGAGTAAGAGCAGAGATGGGAAGACCACGCTCAAGGAGCCTGGTTCACCTCGGGGGCCTCTTAGCTGCCAGTCACTTATCGGGGGAAAAGGGACAGAGCTCCTGACCTCTTCGAATTAAGGACCTCAGCAAACATTACGGGCAAAACGAGCAGTTTTTTTTCTTTTCCTTGATTGAAAATTCTCAACTTTTCCCTTTGTCTAGTGAGAGCAATTTCGTTAAGGTGTTCTCTTATCTTTCTTATCCTCTGAGTGGAAATGTGATTTATTGTTCTGGAGTACCTTTTTTGTTTGTTTTTGAAGGAAGGAAGGATGTGTCTTTTAATGCTGGCTGAGCCAGATGATTGATTTTTCTTTCCTTTGTTCTCTGCTTCTTTCAAAAAGCGTATGCAGGAAGTGGCAGAAATAAAGAAAAATGGCCTGTTGACTTTCCTTGCTTGGTGGTACGAGTGGACCTCACAGGCCAGAGCAGCGCCCTTCCTGGGAGGGGCAGCTGGCGAGGCGCCCAAACGGCAGGAAGGCCCGCCCCCGCAGCAGGCCCCGCGCCCAGACAGCGCCCCCTGCAAGAATTTCTTCTGGAAGACCTTCTCCTCCTGCAAGTAAAACTCCACCCATGATTACTTGAGCAAGGAAGTGTAATGATGGATCTGAATAAAATGTATTAAGCAGACGTGACCCTTCTTTACGCCGTTGTCTTCTCCTTCCCGTGTAATTTGAAAAGTGGTTTTTATTTAAACTCCAGTAACGCCCAATACTGAGTGTCTTGAGTAATCTGGAATGCAAAGTGAATGTGTTTGATAAAGATTTTTGTGGGATTTGCTGTATTGAACTCAATGCAGTCACGTGGCTTTCCTTCCACCTTCAGTATGTGCTTGGCAGTTGTTCTTTCTTTGTCTTCCTTTCTTTGGTTTAAAAATAGCTAAAGGCTACACATTTAAGAGTTAGAAGAACATCTTATTTCACTTTATTTTGATATAAATTGTGTAATTTAAAAAATATTCCCCTCAGATTAAAAGCCAATTTTTAACACTGTGCTAGAAGCACAAAATGGTTATTCACGTTCTGGCTAAAATTAAAAACAAATGTCATGCTGTTAAACAGACAACATGCTGACCCTGCTTATAACGGTTACATTTGACTCTGATGTTAAAAAATACCCATACTAGTTTTAATTAGTGAGTGAATAATTTGTGAAAATTCTTTTCATGGATGAGAGCTTCAGGTTTATCTCAAACCCAAAACNAGAAACCCTACTGAAAACGCCACGGCAGAAGAAGGCCATGAGAGACAAGTCAGCAAAATGGCCAGATTTAGAGAGGGAATTGAAGATATGGATTGAGGAGCAAAGGGCAATTGGAATTCCTGTGTCCACAAAGATGGTTCAGCACGAGGCAAGAAGAATTGCTGATGAAAAAGAAGTTTAATAAAACTTGAGTTCAGTAACTTTATGTAATACATTTTTTTTCAAATTTCAGGCTCCAAAATTAAGGTGTGTCTTATACATGGTAGCATCTTTTACATGGGGAAATACGGTAGTTGTTGATGAATGAATTTGTATAGCAATTGACAATTTACAGGGGGCTTTTATAGATGTTTTACATATATTTTCTAAACCTCACAACCACCCTATGAGGGTTTTTAGCCCCTTTTACAGGCTAGGCACCTGGAGTTAGTAACTTTCCAAAGGTAACTATGAAGCTCTGTGGTTGACAGCCAAACCTTAACCTTCTAACCCTGAATCTAGTGCTGTTTCTACCAGGCTCTGCTAACATCCTTTCTCCAAAGTTTAAGTCAAGGTTAAGGATAATATGATTTCTAAGTGAAATAGCTAAGGTGCCTGATGGTGCTATATATCCATGGAAAAGACACTTCTCTCTTCATAAATTTTGTGTCATAACTATTCCTTGGTCAGCTACCGTGAGCAGTTTCTATCTCTTGCAAAGGGGGATGCTCAGTGCAAGTCCTCTTAGAATATTAATTGTGAAGTTATCTGCTTAGTCCATATTTGTTTATTTCAGAATATTGTTTTTATTTTGGACTCTTGTTTTTTTCATCTGACAGAAGCTTATTGCTAAAGACTTGCAGCACCATTCGAGCATGTGACTACATCTTCCCCAAGGGCAGGGACGTTCTCTTATTTACCTTGAATCCCTAGTACCTGGTACAGACCAGTTGCTCAACAATTTTAGTTGGATAAATTTAGGGGGGGTGTTGACTCTATATGTGCTTCGTAGAACAGATTTGTGATCGGCATATTCCCTTTGCAAGCTCCAAGTTTT